CCAGTAACTAAGGTATGACACAAACCACTACTGCTACCACCAGTAATAGTAAGATAAGGGAAATAACAAGGGGAGAGAATACAACTGCTCACCACCTGCTGACCAATACCCAGCCTGACCTGAGAAGTGATCTAGTCTTTCTGGTTAATTGCCCCAGTTTATATACTGGGCAGGATGTGCCCAGTATATAAACTGTGTATGGAATACCCCTTTGGCTAGTTTGGATCAGGTGTCCTGTCTCTGTTTCCTCCTGACTTCCCCTCCTCCCTGGCAGAGCATGAGACTCAGAAAGTCCTAGGTCAGAGTAGACATTACGAAGCAGCATCTAAAAACATCGGTGTGTTATCAGCGTGATTCCTAGGCTGAAAGTCAAAACCACAGCACTGCACCAGCTACGAAGAAGGAGAAAGAATGACTGCTGCTGTTTAATCCAGGACAGTATCTGAACGTGCGCAAGTCCACGGGACCTGATGAAATCCATCCACGGGTCCTGAAGGAGCTGGTGAAAGAAGTGGCTAAGCCACTGTCCATCATATTTGAAAAATCATGGCAGTCAGGTGAAGTTCCCAACGACTGGAAAAAGGGAAATATAACCCCCATTTTCAAGAAGGGGAAAATGGATGACCCAGGGAATTACAGACCAGTCAGTCTCACCTCCATGCCTGGCAAAATCTTGGAGCAGATTCTCCTGGAAGGCATGCTAAGGCACATGAAAAACAGCAAGGTGCTTGGTGACAGCCAGCATGGCTTCACTAAGGGGAAATCCTGCCTGACCAATCTGGTGGCCTTCTGTGATGGGGCTACAGAACTGATGGACAGGGGTAGAGCTGTTGATGTCATCTACCTGGACTTGTGCAAAGCGTTTGACACTGTCCCACACGACATCCTTGTCTCTAAATGGGAGAGACGCCAATTTGATGGATGGACCACTCAGTGGATAAAGAACTGGCTGGATGGCCGCACACAAAGAGTTGTGGTCAATGGCTCAATGTCCGGCTGGAGACCAGTAACGAGTGGTGTCCCTCAGGGATCGGTGTTGGGACCGGTCTTGTTTCACATCTTTGTCGGTGACATGGACAGTGGGATTGAGTGCGCCCTCAGCAAGTTTGCCGATGACACCGAGCTGTGTGGTTCAGTTGACAGGCTGGAGAGAAGGAATGCCATCCAGAGGGACCTTGACACGCTTGTGAGGTGGGCTGATGCCAACCTCATGAGGTTTAACCATGCCAAGTGCAAGGTCCTACACCTGCGTCGGAGCAATCCCAGGCACAGCTACAGGTTGGGCAGAGAAGAGATTCAGAGCAGCCCTGCAGAGAAGGACTTGGGGGTGTTGGTGGATGAGAAAATGAACGAGCTGGCTTCAGTGTGCGCTTGCAGCCCAGAAAGCCAACCGTATCCTGGGCTGCATCAAAAGGAGTGTGACCAGCAGGTCGAAGGAGGTGATCCTGCCCCTCTCCTCTGCTCTCTTGAGACCTCACCTGGAGTATTGTGTGCAGTTCTGGTGTCCTCAACATAAAAAGGACATGGAACTGTTGGAACAAGTCCAGAGGAGGGCCACAAGGATGATCAGGGGACTGGAGCACCTCCTGTATGAAGACAGGCTGAGGAAGTTGGGGCTGTTCAGCCTGGAGAAGAGAAGGCTCTGTGGAGACCTCATAGCAGCCTTCCAGTATCTGAAAGGCTCCTATAAGGATGCTGGGGAGGGACCCTTCATTAGGGACTGTAGTGGTAGGACAAGGGGTAATGGGTTCAAACTTAAACAGGGGAAGTTTAGATTGGATATAAGGAGGAAGTTCTTTACTGTAAGGGTGGTGAGGCACTGGAATGGGTTGCCCAGGGAAGTTGTGAATGCTCCATCCCTGGTGTGAGGTGTCCCTGCCCATGGCAGGGGGGTTGGAACTAGATGATTTTAATGTCCTTTCCAACCCTAACTATTCTATGATTTGGGGTGTTCATTTTTTTTCGAGAGGCCTAAGCCACCTGTTATTGAATGCTATGTTTATGTGATCCTTAATAAGCGATTTAGAAACCAGTCATGCAGAGACCTGCAAAAGTTGTGATGACAGTTAACTATTTAGTTTGCATTTCAACAGGATTCTGTTTTACTGGGTCATCAGAGCCTTGAGATGGTGGGATCTTGCCAAACAACACTGAACAATGCAACTGTTGATGTAATCTTGACTGAAGTGTGGGATTAATCTGTAACAAATACCCTTTTAGTAGAAGCACACACACAAAAAAATAATTTTGAGATTGCACTTGTACATCTCAAGTAAAAATTACAAATGGGGCTTCCTGTTGGAGGCTTTGTCTCTTAAAACATGATACTGTCTCAGGTGCCCTTTGTATATTTACAGTCTAGAAAATTGCATGCAACAAAAACTAACTTCTGGAAAAGAGCACTTAATAGCTTTTGTTGCAGCAACTGGACACTCGTATATTGCAAAGATTCAGCAAGTATTTTGTTCAGAATAGGGCTTTGAAGCACAATAGCAAGACAGATTTTTTCTGGAAGATCCTGTGGGATTCTAAATAGGAGCTATATTAGATTTCCAGAAACTTTATGCACAGGTTCAACTGTCTAACGTCGTGGAGGACTTGAGTGTCCAGGGAGCTTTACTGTGATGTTCTTTTAGCATGTCCTGAACTAACTGAAAGATTTTGGAACAAAGTTGTGCAGTTAATTACTGGATATACATGTCCGTGTCAAGTCCGTGGGAGACCACTGCTGAAAATCAACATTTTAAACTCAGCTCAAAGTAAAGCTTTCCATCAAGTCCTGTCTTGGTAAGTACAGACAAATATTTATAATGACGATTAACTTCAAAACAAAAGCCCTAAATTTCTATAAACCATATATAAAAAATAAATTTGTTTGCAATTGAAGTACATAAAACTAAAATTAGACATATTTCTAGAATAGCCTTTGGATACTGTCCTGGGTTTAGCAGTAGCAGCCAATTTTTCTTCTTGGTAGCTGGTGCAGCGTTGTGTTTTGACTTTCAGCCTGGGAACAGTGCTGATAATACTGATATTTTCTAACCATCTCAGTGCTGTCTACTTTTGTGGAATTTATGGTTTTTAATTCATGCTTAAGATAGGAGCTGAAAGAATATTTCTACAACACAAAGTGAATTTCAATTCTATGTGTAAAGCCTGATTTGAATTCATTTTAAAAGTTATCTGAAAGCCTTATTTAAACTTGGTAGGTACCATTTTAACATTAAATATAAACTTAAGATAAATTGTATATTTGAAGGCACTGAAAGTGTATATTTAAAAGGAACATGTCATTGAACTAGGCAAATAGTGCTCCTTTCTAAGTGCTTTCATTCTTTTAGCGGTGTCCTGGTTTTGTCTGGGATAGAGTTAATTTCCTTTGCAGTACCTGACGTGGAGCTGTGTTTAGGATTTGGTAAATCAGTGTTAGTAATACAGAGATGTTTTAGTTACTGCTGAGCAGCTTACAGAGAACCAAGGACTTTTCTGCTCCTCACGCCATCCCACTAGTGAGTAGGCTGGGGGTGCACAAGGACTTGGGGACACAGCCAGAACAGCTGACCTCAACTGACAAAAGGGGTTTTCCATACCATATGGTGTCATGCTCAGCATGTAAAGCTGGAGGAAGAAGGAATGGGAAGACACGTTTAGAGTGCTGACATTTGTCTTCCTCAGTAACCACTAACATGTGGTGGAGCCCTGCTTTCCTTGAGATGGCTGAACACCTGCCTGCCAATGAGAAGTGCTGGATTAATTCTTTGTTTTGCTTTGCTTATGTGCTCAGCTTTCGCTTTACCTATAAACTCTCTTTATTTCAACCCATGAGTTTTATCACTTCTATCCTTACAATCCTGTCCCCCATCCCACTTGGGGGTGGGAGGGTGAGTGAGTGGCTCTGTTGTGGCTTAGTTGCCAGCTGGGGTTAAACGATGACTGTCCTTTTTGGTGTCCAACATAGGGCACATAGGGTTTGAGATAACAATAGATGTGACTGGGATTGCTAGATGGAGTTTATAGCTGTTACTGCTGTTTAGCTATTAACTGACAGCATGCTGTGCTTGCCATGGGGCTTGCTTGCCTTACTGTGCATCAGTGTTGAGCTCATTAGTGGCTGCCTTTTGCTTTCACTGCTTGCTGTCCTGCTTATCATCTAACTGCTGTGCCTGGGAACATTTTGATAACAGGAATGGCAATGTGCCTGGGCTGGCAGATGGCCAGGGCATGGCTGCTGTTTCTGTGCTGTTTCTGCTCTTCCTGGACAGGCTGGAACTCCAGTGTGAACTCAAGTCAAAGGCACTGTGACCCGTCAATCAGCCCACATAGGAGCAGGACACCCTGAACCATCTGTGGCTATAGGTAAGTCTATGCCAGAGCAGGTACACATCTTGAAGCATCTATGGCCCTTGTTATTTTTGAGCTTCAGCAGGTATACCTCTGAAGGGATGCAACTCAAGAATGAGTCCATGCTGGAGAAGGTACACCTTGAAGCATCAGCGGCTGTGCATGAGGTCATAACTGCACCACCTCAAAGAACGTGGCCGAGGATAAGACTACAACAGAGAGGATACACCTCTGGAGGGTCTGCAGCTGTAGATAAGGCCATGTTGGAGCAGGTTTATTTCTGAAGGGGGTATAGCTTAAGGCCATGCTGGTAGCAGGAACTTCTCTGAAGGCATTGTGACCCATGGAGGCCATGCTGGAGAGGTGCACCTCAAAGCAACTGTGGCTGTGGATAAGTCAGTGCTGCAGCAGGTATGCCGCTGGAGACACTGGCTTGTAGATAAGGCTCCACTTGGAGCAGGTACACCCCTGAAGGACTGCAGTCTATGGGTAAGCTGAAACTGGAGCAGGGGCAAGGGGAGGAATTCATTGCAATGTTAAACCCTATGGTGCGGTCCAAAGGGACTAGGCGTGGAGATTGTTAATGGAAATATCTTTAAATTGTTACAATCCATGGTTTGAGTTGCATGTTATAGGAATTACTGTAAGTTATGTAAATATTTGAAAAAGATTTTTATAATAAAGGAATGAATATAAAAGTTCACCAAGATTCTGTGCTTTACCAAGTCTCATTCCCTACACAGAAGCACAAGCCCAAAGGCAGCTTCAGCAACAAGTTTATATACATTCTTACATATGTCATAACTTCTTGACTTGAAAGGAGTCCAATATGAATCAGTACATATCATGTTTTATTAAATTATTCTTTTATATTTCCTTATTCTGTGTGTTTATAGATATAAAATGGCTCAATTAAGAAGAGGTGAGTGGGAAGAAATAGCAATTAATGTTTTACAGATTACCCACCCACAAGTGTACTCTAAAACTGTGATTAAAAGTAGGCAACTTTTTAAGTTTTGAAATCTGTTGTGTAAATCATGACTTCCCATTTTCTCCCTCTGGTGTGAAGATTACTTCTTATCTTCTGAAGTCACAAAGCAATACAATTTTCTTCTGTGTGTGTTTTTTAATGGAGACGCCCAGTTTAATGCTATAGTGTTAGAAAAATGTATACAAAAACTTTTTTTGCCTACAGGACTAGTTGCAGAATTGTATGTCTACCTCTTCATTAGAAAAATACTGGGGATAGTGGTATGCAAATCAAGTCCAGGATCAGGGTATTTAAGTGAAGGAAGCATGGAGTCTTCTCTGAAGTTAATAAAATGTGCAACTCTTAAAGTAATAGTGGATGGCTTCTGATGTTTTTTTTCAACAAAAATGAATATTCTGTATTTTTGTGCAATAGCAAATTGAGTCATAGTCTACTAGTACATTTTAATTAAATTTCCAGGTAGAAACTTGTTTAAAGTCCAAATTTAATTCAGTTGTATCATTCCATAAAAACAATACTCACTTTCTAAGCAAATTTTTGATGCATAGATCTCCTGTGGACACTTACCACTGTTTCTCATAAGCACTACTGTGCTTTCACAGTCACTTAACTGCACTGTCTCCTGTTTATGCATCCTGACCACACCTTTGGGCTTTCAGTACTGTCACTGGCCACTTATGAAATACATACTGGTTTAATTTCAGGAGACTTGTAAACTTAATTAAACTGGTGCAACCTATTTTTTAATGCATTTTAAAAGCAGTTTGATTCATCATAAGCCTGCTCTTAAAGGTATAAACAGACAACCAGGAAAAACTACTCCAAATAAAAATGTAACCTACATTGAGAGGAAACAGATGGTAACAAGCCAGTGATTAGCAGTTTAGTGACTTGACAAGTCATACAATGTTTGACTTAACAGATTGAGTCTGGGAATGGAGACGAGTTGTGCATGCATACACTGTGAGCCCTTCACTCATTTCCATCAGTGGCTCATGCAATTGAAGGTGGGGTTTTCACCAGTGCACCTTTTTCAGTTGTGTGGAAATTCCCAAAAAATCACAAAATGGAGAATGAGTCACCATTTCAGGCCACAGCAGCAGCTCAAATACATTCAAGTTTGCAGACATCCAAGTTACTGCAGGCTGGCAGAGACAGAATGGAATCTAAGCTGTTTTCTGCTGGCAGCATCACAAATCCATGGTAGTTATCACCTGTTTGCAAGAACAGATGCAACAAACTGTGGGCAATGGTTATTCGTAGGGGGATAATTATTTTGAAGGCCCCATCAAACAAACTGCTCTGTCATTAGTCAAAGAAATTACAGTTTAGAACCACCACCTTTCTCTTAAGTTGTATTTCTGAATGCATGAGGCAAACCTTGATTAGAAAAGGGCATACAGGAGTGCAATGGCAAGTGTTAGTATCAAAATGAACTACCTCAAGTTTTCTGTGTGGATGCTGAGGGAATACAGTATGCCTGAACAGCTGCTGTGACGATGCAAAGAATCCTGGTTTTGGTTTACAACTCTTCTGTTAACAGCGTCCACATTAGGAATTGTATTACTGCAACCATTCTTGTTTAGGTGGAGCTGCAGCTTTGAACAAGCTCTTCGTGTTTCTTAGGATTTCAAACCGCCCCAACAGCATATGCAGTGATCTTCTTTGAAGGAGCTGGTGTCAGGCACCTGAGCCACTATAGCTGGCTGCAAACATGCTTTCAGTTCTACCTAGGCGTGAAGAAAATTGTCCTGGCTGCAGCCGTCCTCACAGGGTATGAAGTGAAGGCAAGGAGCATAATTACGGCAGCTCTGCTAACAAAAAGATGACATGACTGCGTGACATTTCAATTCCCAACGTGCAAGCTCACACCTCTCTTTCAGCACTAGGGCTTCCTCCAATAATCAAACCTCCGAGCCAAGTCCCTACAGACACAACTACCGGCACGCTCTCACACGCACCACCAGCACCGCACAGGCACCTGTTCGGAGAACACCGCCTCTTCCCGCGGCGCCCGGGGAGCAGCCGACAGCTCTCTCACTAAATGCCCCAGGCCCTGTACCTCCCGTGGCCGTTCCCCAGTCAGGCCGCTCCTCAGAAGCGCGGCGGCTCTCACCGTGCAGCCGCGGAGCCGGGCGCGACCCCGGTCACTCAGAGCCGGCAGCCGAGGCCGCCATCGCCTCAGCGCCCATAGCTGCCCCGCCCCAAGGGAGGGTGGAGGAAGCCGGTCCCTCCCGGCATGCCCGGCGCGCGGCAGAGGCCGGTGCGCTTGCGCGCTGCGCGGCCGGCTCCCAGCTCAGCGCAAGATGGCGGCGGGCGCCTCGGACCCCTTGGAAGAGATGCTGCTCTTCTCCGAGGAGGTGGACGAGAAGGCGGTCAGCGATCTGGTGGGCTCCTTGGAATCGCAGCTGGCCGGCAGCCGGAGCTCCGCCGAGGCGCCCCAGCCCAGGACTTCCGCCCCGTCCCAGCAGCAGCAGCAGCAGCCGCAGCAGCAGCAGCACCAGGGGAGCCTAGCGGGGGGCAGCAGCCCCGTCCGGCAGCAACAAGGGCATCCCGCGCCTCCTCCCACTCCTGTGGCAGATGAGGCTGCGACGGGGTGTCCCGGAGCCGCGGAGAGCCGAACCCCTACTCAGGGGCAGCTCCCGTCCCCGTCCCCCCCGGCGGCGGCAGCGGCGGCGGCAGCAGCAGCGGCGGCAGGGAGGGGAGTGAGTGTAAACAGTAGTAGTGTGCAGCAATCACATGGAGCGGCTCTCCTCAGCAGCGGCAGCAGCCCCGGCGCGCCCGCCGCCCCTGCCCCTGCGCAGCCCGCCGCTCTCTCGCCCTCCGGCGCCCCTGCCCAGCCTGTCAACAGCCATGTGGCTGCCGGCGCCACTGCCCGGGAAGCGGGAAGCCCCAACCCCAGCCCGCCCGCCGCCGAGAGCACGCTACCGCCGTCGCAGCGCAACGAGGCCGCGGGGGGGAGCGGGACCCCGGCCGGGGGGGGCGGGCCGGCGGGAGTGGCGGAGGGTGCTTCTGCTGCTGCCACCGCGGCGCTCCCCGGCGAGGCGGCGCCCAACGGGGAGGGTGCCAGGGGCCGGCCGGCGGCAGTCCCACCAGTCAGCAGCCACGGCAGAGCAGACGCCGCCACGGCACAGATAAAACCCGCGCACGGCCCGCTCTCCGCAGTAAACGCACTCAGTAACTCAGCCAGTCCCGCGCCCGCCGCACCGCCGGGGCAGGGCTCGGCCCCCAACTGCGCTCCGGCTGCCCCCGCAGCGCCCAAGCCGGCGGTCAGCGCTGCCAAGGCGGGCGCTGCCCCCCTCGCAGCCCCGCAAGCTCTTTCGCCCCGTCCGGCATTGAGTGGTGCCCCCAGGATCGTTGCCCCGCAGCTGATCATGAGGCCGCAGCACCAGACCACCATCCAGCTGCCCCCCGGCTTCACCATCCCGCCGGGTAAGTGAACCGCACCAGCCGCTCGGGATAACCTTTTCTATTTTCTTTGGCCGAGGTTGTTTTCATTCCCCAAAGTTGTCTTCCAGCTGCTCGACGCGCTGGAAACAAGAGGAGGCACCTGTCTGAGGGCGACGTCTGACAAACAGGCTTCCGTTAATGAGGGTGTAATTGGTACGGGACGGGCACTTGCTAATGCAGTTTAATTACGACTGTAGTGTGGTGAGTTACTTGTTCTATCCTGGGGTGAGAGCGGCAGCCGCGGTAAGTTGTTTTGGATGGATGTAGTGAGCAGTCGCGCTCCAGATAAAAGGCTGGGTGTTAGCGAAGCATAACTTTATATGTGCCTTGAAGGACTCTATTTTCTGCTTGCCTTCTGATAGACTTGAAAAGTTTTTTTTTCTTCAGGGAGTGCCTTCTGCTGTGAATTAGGCGGCGAGATGCAGGCTGATGTACATAATCTAAAATTTCTGATTTCAGCAAGTGTGATGGTGTAATTCTCTGCTGTGTCTAGGCAGTCTTTACATCAATGGATTTTATTTCCAACTCTGAAGTAACGGTTGCATTCAGTTTATTCTCCTCTTAGTTTTTAACTGTCATTACTAAAAATGTAAGTTCAGCAAGGTTGCTAACTAACCAAAACAGCCTCACTTCATCCTGGTGATTCCTATTCTAATTGTGTATTCTGTCAACTGAAATTCTAAAGGATTCTGTGATCCCCTACTTAGATTTTCATGTTGGAAAAAGTTGGTAACTTTTTGCCTTGATTTAGGAGATGATTTAACATTTGAACTGATTTTGATACATTTTTGCTAGTACTATGAATAGCATGATAATATGTGGAGCTATTGATGTAGTCTGAAACAACTTCTTCCAACATGTTTCTTAAAATATTTGATATTAGCTAAGTATAGTAAAAAGCTAAGTGTAGCAAAAATGCAATGGTATTGAAGCTCACTTCTGAGTGGAGGTTTAGTAGTTTTATATTTGGCTGTAGTTTTTGAAAGTCCTGCTCCAGATTCTAATGCTCCAAATGTAAAAAGCTCAGTGGTTTCAAACAGGTAAGAGGTTGCTATTCAGACTACATTAGTGACTTTCGCCTTTGATTTTCCATTGTTTATTTGATTGATAATTAGTATACACATATGATGTGTTGTAACTTTGCATACTGTTGCTGAAGTTTCTTGTGTCGACACTGCATTTTGCTACTTAATTTTTAAGCAGAAGAGGGAAAACAGAGCCCTTGAAAGCGATCTGATCCAAGATTTAGAAAATGTTATGGAAATAATACTGTGGAAAGTTATAATTTGAATTCGATTTTTATTACAGGTCAGCTTGAAATCCATTGTATTTTCATAAACAGTAAGATAGTATGTTCTAAAATGAAGTTATTTAGAAAATACAATGTTATTTTTGAGTTTTTCATTCCTAAAATTGGTGGATCATTTATAATTAATTTTGAAACTCCCACATTGTAAACTTCTCTCTAAAGAAGAAATTTAGAATCAGCTTTTGAGAATAGGTTATTTTACCATATAATAATCATAAGTTGTGTGTTTTGTCTTTATGTGGCTGACAGGAAAAAATAGTCTCATAATTTAACCAGATTCTAATTTGTATGTATTGCTCGGTAAAAGAAATTTCAAGTCCTCCAAACTGAATTAAAACATAACATCAATACATGAACATTTATTCATCTATGGTAGTAATTATGTCTAAAACTTTTATTGAAACTGTGGCTTGTGTTGCAATTAATTTGTCTTCTCCATTCATTATTTTTTTAATTCAGAATTGGTTTTAGAAGATTGGAAGATAAATCAACACACCCGTGAATCTGTGTAGTGGAAATAGAATGTGTAGTTTTTAATGTGTGGTAGGCATTATCCTAGGAGGATTTTATATAAAATTCACAATGTAGTCAGAGGAGGGATATGTGTTTGGCCAGTTGGCAATGTACTGGTATTTTTGTTTCTGGATGGTTTAGGAATGGCATATACCGAGTACATAATCTGTATATGGAATTATCTGCAAATACAGACCATGAGGTTTGCTGCTTAAATGGCTGATGGACCTTAAAAAACAAGTATATTTTGGAAGAGTTTTTATGGGCTTTTTTCAGCTTTTCTTTTAAAAATTGCTGTCTGGTCTTAGAGTTATGAGCGTGGCATTTGGATGTGGTTCTTCTCTAGAGGTCTGTTCCTTTAACCTTAAAGCTTGTTTTCCAAAATTGTTTAGTTTGTAGTGGCAGAAATTTGGCTCTTGTTTGTGTTTTTAGCAAGGAGGGTTGTGTGGGAGCACCTAAGAGTATGAGAGTGAGGGCTTTTGTTGGTGCTGCAGTTCACTCTTGTGTTCATTCCACAACTGGGATTGGTATTTTTATGTTAGAGACTGAAAGACTTTCTTGATACAGGGTACATCTGAAATTTGTTATTTGCTTGTTACAATAGTGTTGGATTTCTTTATCCTGGTGGTATGTTGCAAGCCATGTCTCTCTACTGAGGTAGGTTTTCCCCCCCCATGAAGCTAATTAGAAGTGAATGTATGCTTTTACCTTCTTTATTTTCCCTTGAAAAGTAAAAATAAAAAAAATAAAAAAGCAGTTTGCACATAGAGGCAAACTGTAGAAACAGTGTGAACTGACTCTTACCAATAAAATAAAAGTGACTTCCTAGATTCTTACATGTTTTTGGTTCTCCTGTAGTTGCAGTCAGGATATTTTTCTGTTTATAGACCCATTGTACCCTATCTAGGTTGAACTATGAAAGTGTATTCTGGACCTAACTTGGAAATTCTTTTAAATGATCTGGCTGGGGAATTGCTCCTTAATAAGGAAGCACTTTACATGTTTTGCAGTGATGTTGAGTAAGTGTGAAGCTCCAGGTGATCTAGGGACCAGCTTAGCCATTGTCTCCCCTTTTCTGACCTGATAATTATGGAAAACTTAAGACAAAGCTTAGTGGCACTGTCTGTGTTGTGTAGAAGGCCTCTATTTGTGAAATGTGTTACCAGAAAATAATCTGAGAAAAATTATCATTTACCTCCAAAATGTATTAGAAAACACTTGCCAAATACTGTGGTGATTTTTAGAGCAATTTTTTTGGCATTTGCCTAAAATACATGCTCATGTATCATTTTCTGCTGAGGAGTGGCTGGGTTGGTTCTCTGGATTTGGCAGTATTTTTCTCTTAATGTCTAAACCACAGGTAGTGCCTCCCAGTACAGTGATGATGGGTACCCAATAAATTCATCTGTTAATTCTCAACAATTAACTAGATCTCAAGTATTGTATACTCAAAAAGGTGGCTGGCCTGATGTTTGCATGTGCACATCTCCTGAAGCTGTTGTTTTAGTAAAGCTGTCATGTCATTGTCCCTGCTATGTTCATACTGAATTCTATTCTCAGCTACTAGATTATCACTATAGTTTAATTTTAATAAATATTTCTTTCTAATTTTATTCTGCTCATCCTGACTAGACTGCTGAAAGTATGCGTATACACGCAAGTGACCTTTTTTTTAGTCACTGTTATCCGTAAGCTACAGTTATTTGAATTCCAGACTGAATAGGGTATTAGTTTTTGTCTGCTGGTGGGGGTTACTTTTCGTCCTTGAAATAACGTCTCATGTTACACCAGAATAAAAAATGATACAGTGTAAAGAAAAATGTGCGCTGCTATCCATAAGTTTTACTGGTATTCCTTAGTTACATAGTACCTTATATATTATTCTTTATTGTAT